TGAAGGCAAGCAACCAAAACAATTTGTTTTTGAGCAAGTAATGTTCCAATCAAATACAAGGAATGAGAAGAAATTGCATATCCCACTGACACAAATATGAAAAAAATTAAATAAATTATTAAAAAATTACACCAACAAATAAATAAGTAATTGATAAATTGAAATAAGCAACATCTGACCAAAAATAAAACAAAAAGGGATAAGGCAGTATTACCGGCTTAAAAAATACTATGCACACCACAAAAAACTGTTATGGTAAGTTATTAAATGCCTTCTTTTTAAAACACAAGCTGATGTGGCCAATGCAATAAGGGTGCCACATCAGCTGGTAAATAAATTTATACAAATTTTAAGGGTAGCATTTTTCTTCAACACAACTATATAACACAAACCTGGCAACAGAAAAAAATGTACTGAACATTTGGTTGACTAGATCATCGCATTCAAGATCCAACATCACAATGCATGATCTATATCTTGCAAGAGTCTCCAATATGCCAACTCTCCTTCCAAAAGATGGACCACTGGTATCATTTAAACCACTAAAGGTGCTGACTATTAAATGAAAAATGTCCTGTAGATCATACAGAAATCACAGGGATTAACAAGCAAAAAAGTAGATGATTATACACAGACTGCATGCACCAACTCCATTTATTATTTGATTTTTAAGAACTAGTACCTTTAAAACATCATCGCTGTAAGGAGCTTCAGGTGCAGTAATCCGAGTTATCTCACAAAAACAGGTAGCAACAAGAAGCGCAACTTCCCTATCTTGATGCTTTAGAAGTCCTGGTTTAGCGATCCCATTCAGAAAAGGCTGCATGGACTTTAATATTGACTTTGTCGGTGATTGATCCAACTCAGAAAGACATGTTGCAGCTTGCTGCATGTCAATAGAAGGGTTTTGAAAATTATATCGGCCACTCAAGAATGGAAAATGATCCAAAGATAGAACTTTTGTACCGAAAACCTATCCAGAATAATGTGGCAGTGGTATTTTTAAAATTATAAGCTACAATGATGGATGTTTTGATTTAAGATAAAAAGGACCATAAACAGCCACATCATTATTTATGAAAAATCTGCATAAAAATTATGTTTGTATCGCATTAATCCTCTAGAATTCATTTCTGTTATCCTTACTCCCGAAATTAAATAATAGAAGTCTTGTGGTCCATAATTGCAGTGTACACATAAAAGAGTTCCTACTTGAGTAAAATGAATATGATATCACAAATCAACATTTTGATTTTCTCACGTTTATATAAAAAGATGTTGGCTCTCCACTGCAAAGGCCAGTTTCCTATGTCTAAAGCCACTTTCTCACACATATTTTGCAATATTTACAAAAACTAAAGTACCATTTTTTCTTTCCAAACTCAAACCCTGGATACAGCATGCAAACAGTAATGTCAAAAATCAAAGTCTTAAAGGAGTTCAAGGGCATTTCAAGCAATATAATTGGCCAGCATTGTCACACCCTACTTGGAACAATTTCCGGCCCTTAATAATCACACATGAAACATGAAGCACAGCACCTTACAAAGAAGGTTAGATGTAGCACTTCACCAGAGCCACTACCAACCATGGGCAATGAAAAAGTATTCCCTGCATATTTGAACCCTTGATAGGAGGGAGAGCTGTGGTGCTGATTGGGCTTCAAAAATTTTAAACTGATTCTTAAATACCAGTACTTAGTACCAATTTCTGATGAGAATGAGCAGCTCACTTAGGAGTCCATCAGGGGGTGAGGAGGTGATACATCAACAAATTTCCTGCTCCGCCAATATAGAAGACATAGATGATGTTTTTATTCAATTAGTCCATTGCAAGTTCCAGTTGCACATCACCGTTTGACAATGAATTACAAAGACATCTCATGAGCATATTACAGTTTTTTTTCAATTATTCAAAATGTTCCAGTAAATTTTTATTTATTTTTTTTAATAAATATAATGTTCCAGTGATATCATCAATTTAACCACAATTCATTAGTTATCTCAATTTTATTTGCACTCATATCCTTTTTTATTTCACCCTTATCCTTTTAGCACTTCCAGTATGAACGAAGGCCTCATTTGGGAACAAACTTTTTTAGTAACTTTTTAACTTTTTTGTTAAAATATGATGTAAAAAAAAAACTATTATGTTTGGAATGACTTTTTGATTTTTACGAAAAGATGTGCAAAAAGTAGAGAAAAAATAGAATCTTTGACTTTTTGGTATAAGTTGTTGGCTTTTCTTTTTTTTTTTAGTGACTTTTAGACTAAAATCACCACTTGCCAAACGAGGCCTAAATCTACCTTTTATGACTAAACACATTAGCAACTTCGTGACTAATGCAAAAATGGTCGTCTCAACTCCCAATTTTGTTATGGACATATGCATGTAGCAATTCAACACTGAAATTGCTATAGAATAGAATAGACGAGCAACTTTTATCAATCAAACATTGTGGAAACTCAATTGGTTGATCTCCTGTGTCTTCTTCTTTTTTTTTTTCTCCATTTACATCATGCAAATTCATAATTCCTTTTTTACACTCAAGATCTGCCCTCCTGATCAAACTTTTGACTTCCGGTTGATCATGAATTACCCAAAGATCAAGACACAATCAGTTGGAAGTCATAGAATTCAATAACTTAATGTAAGACTAAGTGCAAGCAGGCAATCAGCTCAATTTAAATCTTATCACTGAAAGTGGTTGTTTATCAAAACCTATCAAAATCATAAGACAAGTAATGATAAAATGACAAGATGTTCCTTGCATCAATGGATCTCTCTGGTTTCAGTGTGGTTGTCATGCAATTCCAGCATATGCAAGAACACACAGCAGCTAAGGAAAACAGTGGCGTTTGTGGTATTTGGCTATCCATTATTAAGTACCATAATTAAGAGAAACAAATGCGCTTAGTCTAAAAATTTTTTTGTTGAATTATGATGTTTCCAAAAGGTAGAAAAGGAGAAATGATTTTTTTCTGTTTTTTTCTTTTACCCAATTTTGTCAGGGAATCCACTAATGTTATTTTACATGACCTAGAAGGAGCAGTCCACTAAAGATGCTTTGGTAATTTGGGGGAATTAATACTTGCAAGTTCAGATATTGTTAACTTTAAATTTTGATTTCCAATTAGACTTTTAGCTAGAAAACAGCTTCAGATACTTCAAAACATTATGGTTTTTTTTTCCAAAATGAAGAGAAAAAAAAAAAAGTAAAGGTTGTTTCTTTATATAAATACATATACATATATATATTAAGTATATTGAAGAGGATGACAAGGCGGTGTCATTATGAGCAATGCCACCACACGTTCTACACCTGTATTACTACATTAATGCTTAATTCAGCAGAATTCATGAGAAAGAACCACTACTCTTTTTAATGATTCTTAATTGGAACTTCGCGAATGTCGGGCCTTAATTTTAGACAAAACTATCAAAAACCCTATTCCATTCAAATATCCTAAACATTATTATTTGGCAGGCCTCAACCTCAACCTCAACCTAAACCTACTTTCCTACTATTCTTCTCTTACCAAACAGGGAAAGAAATTCAACTTCATACCTTAAAAATAAAATTCTTAACCTCAGACTTCCATTTAAATCAAATTTCCAAGCAGAAATTTGTTCAAGTTCATGTTTTCCCCAAGAAAATAAAAGAGAAAATATTCCCAACTCCCATGAGAAAAAAAATAAAAACTCACTAAAGAAAGCTGAAGAGTAATTAGTCCCCAATCTTCACCTCGAGGGAATTGGGAAGTTAAAATTGAGTACAGAAGTCCTAGAAAATACTTCAGAACTACTTATTGTCCAAAGCAAATGACACCAAGTGGCAAAAGACTCAATTTTTCTCTGTCTGGCTCATGGAAAGAATGAAACACAACACAAGAAAATGCTAAAATAAGCACCAAAAAATCACTTTCTCCCTTGACCAGTTCCTTCTCTTTTCCTCTCTCATTGTCTAGAACCCAGAAAAAAAATGCCAAACCAGTACGTCAGCGAACCCTAATTCACCTGAATTTCCACAAACTTTCCAACAAAACCTTAAACATAATGAAACACAAACAACAAAATGATGAATTTTTAGCCCCAAAAAATGGATTCCTCCCTCTCCGCTTTCCTTGAATTTTTTTTTCTTTATAAATGACAAGCCAGTACATCAGTGAACCCTAATTCACCTGAATTTCCACAAACTTTGCAACCAAACCATGAACACAACCCAAAATTCAGATTTACAAGCATGAAGAAACGAATTGAAGTAAAACAAGAGGCGAAACAACAAGAAACAATGACACAACGTAAAATTAGAGAGAGAAATGGCGAACCTCCAAGAGGTTGATGACAGAATCTTTGGTGGCGGGAGGGTTTTCGAGCTTCGATCCGAGCTCCTTCAACTGCTGTTGGAGCTTTTGGACCATGTTTGTAGTTGCTTTCTAAGCTTCACGACCTCTCTTCTCACATTACCAGCTCCGAGAGAGAGAGAGAGGGGGGTTCCGAACAAGGAAGCGAAATGGACTCAAAATTTATTTTAAACAGAATTTAAGCGATGTAGTCTTGACTTCCGCGCAATTTATCCCTAGATTTTACTTTCTCAGTTGGGATTTTGCTTTCTGCCCCTTCCACTTTACCCTATTTAATGTAAGGTAAATTACATTTTACCCCCTTACAATATTTGCATTTCTTTTACTTTGGTCTTTTAAAATAATTTATCTTCAATTTAGTCCATAAATTATTTAATTGTACGAATTTGGCTGACAACATTTCTAATCCTTCGTCAAATCATTTATCAAATTTAAATTTGATAAAAAATTAATGAGGTCCAATCTTTTCATTAAATTTGGCCCCGTTTGATAGAATTGAAGAAAAGTAATTATAAATTACAGATTAACAGATTATAACTTATAGCTGTGAACATAAACTGGAAATCTGTTTGGTGCAGATGTGAGATTATAGATTTAACTAGCAGAATAATGTTTGATAAATAAGCTATAAAATAGCTTTTTACTGTATAATTATCATTTTTGCCTTTCTAGGATATAAAATTTGTGATTTCATTTATAATATATTTTTTCTTTTTCTTTTTCATTTTATTTTTTTTCCTTTTCTTTTTCACCTTATTTTCTTTTATTTTTTTAAATTTTTTTTCTTCTCCTTTTTCTTTGTTAATTTTTTTTTAATTTATTAATTCATTAAAATTAATATTCATGTTCTAATTTATATTAATGTTGTGATTTCATTACATATTATTTTCATATATTCATCAATTTATCAATTTATATTAATGTATAAATTTTTCCAATTTATTATTATTATTATTCATTTTAATTATTTTTAGTAATATTTCATTTTTTTTCTTTATATTAATGTATCATTATTATTCTTTATATTAATTTATCAATTTACATATATTCATCAATTTATATTAACGTATCAATTTTTCCATCAATTAATATTATCAATTAATATAAATTACATATATTCATCAATATTAATTTTTTTCATCAATTATTACATAAATTACATATATTAATATTATCAATTATTATTAATTTTCCATCAATTACATATATTCATCAATATTCTTATTAATAGTATCAATTAATATAAAAAAAATTTCATTTTTTCATTTTAAATTATTTAGTCTCAAGTTTTCATTTTTTCATTTTAAATTAATTAGTCTCAATTAATTAGCATCAATTATTATTTATTATTCATTAATTATTTTGTTTTTTTATATTAAAAAAGCACTGAAAAACCTCAAAATAATAATAATAATAATGAAAACCCTAACTCCGGCGAGATGAACCGGCGCTAGGGTTTTATTCAGATTGTGATGGTAGATGGTGCAGATCAACCGGCGCGAGGGTTCACGCCGAGGAGAGGGAGACAGACGGGTTCGCGATGGCAGATCGCGATGGCAAATCGCGATCGCGAAGAGGAAGACAAACGGGTTCGCGAAGGGGGAGAGACAAAGAGGGGGAGAGGGAGAGAGAGAGAGAGAGAGAGAGAGAGAGAGCTTGGTTGCCGGAAATGGACATTCTCGCCGGAAATCGCCCTAGCTCGCCGAAAATCGCCTCTCTCGTTTGTGTGAGAGAGGAAGAATGAGTGAAAAATGGTTTTAAACATGGCATAGATGTAATTAGTATCAATTTGGAAGGGCATTTTAGTCATTTTAATCCTCCCATTTCAGCTTCCCGTATAAGCTGAATCCAGAAGCACCCCCTGAGGTGCTTAGAAAATTAAGCTGAAAATAGCTTAATAAAAGCTATAATTTATCACTTTAAGTTTTACTAAACACACCAAAGTAACTTAGTTTAAGCTTAAAAGCTGCTTTTAAGTGCTACCAAACAGGCACAATATATTATTTTGTTATTTTTATCAAATAAAATATGAAGCAAATCTTTCATCAGATTTCTAATAAGTATTTTTCTACTTAAGTTTGATGAAATTTTTAAAAGATAAGTTGAGTTTTTTTCACCAAAATTAATGAAAAGTGAAATTTGATATGATAAATTAATTTTTTTTAAGATTTTGATGAAAATTTAATGAAAAGATTAAAATAGTTCATATAAAATCAATGATTTTACTCAAATTTAAAATCAAATTAGATTAAAAATTTAATGAATGATTATAGATGGTCTAAGTCCAATGTCCGTCCAATTTATGGTAAAAAAAAAAAGAGTAATGCTAGAGACCCCAAATATTCTACCAAATGTCTCACATGGGTGTGGGACCCACACAATGTGGGTCCTATGTAGGTCCCACACCCATGTGAAACATTTGATAAAATTTTTAATAGAATTTTTGGAACCTCTAACATTTTTTTAAAAAAAATAACACGTTAATTGTCATGTACCATCGGTCAATTATCACATGACATTTGAAAATGTCATGTTATTTTTCTAAATTGGTCCTTTTAGTATTATATTTTTCACATGGCACACGTATGGAAAAAAGGGAAAGAAGGAAAAAAAACAAGATAAAAAGGAAATGAAAAAGTAACTTTCATTGGTATGGTGATATTTTTAAAAATTTTAGGGCAAATTACATATACACCCCTTGAGGTTTGGCTAAATTACAGATACCCCTGAGGTTTCAGAAATTACATCCCGCCCCCTGAGGTTTGTATTTTCATAACAATTTGCCCCCTGAGATTTATATTTCATAACAAATTACCCCCTAATTTCTTATGCAAATATAGCATTCAGGGGGGAATTCGTAATTTCTCAAACCTCAGGGGGGCATCTGTAATTTAGCCAAACCTCGAGGAGTGTATATGTAATTTGCCCAAAATTTTAATATAAAAAGTTAGTTTCCTATTTTTATTACAATATACCACATTATGCCTCCGTTTATGAAGTGGGTTAGTTTTTCGGCTTTTTGGCTTTTTTAGCTATTTTAGCATGGGCTTAAAAGCTTGGTTTGGAAGGGCTTTTTGACTTTTTGGCTTTTTTGAATTTTTTTGTGAGAGAAGAATGTAATGATTATGAGTTGAATGTGATGTTTTGTTTGTTATGACTAAAATAGCCTATTTTATTTTTTGTGACTAAAATAACCAAAAAAACTTACAAACCCACTTGCCAAACACAGGCATATAATGAATACAGTATCAACACTTTATAATGCAAATTAGAACAAAGTGTGAGATACCTCATGCATGCAAATATAAGGTGGATATAGAATACTCGAGTCGCGAGACTATTTTTTGACCTCAACGTGAGGTGGAATAGCTCTAACCATGAGTTAATGTTATACATTAAGGTCTAGAACCAACTTCTTCTTTTTTTTTAGTTTTTTAATTAATTTTTCTTTTTTTTACCAAGTCATATTTTTAATTTGGGATCTTAGTACCTACCAAAAAAAATTTTGGGGTCTCAATCTATAAATCCATTTTATGAACTTAAAGGCCATACATCCAGGCGCCTTTTATTTAGGTCTATACAGACAATCGCATATAAAAAAGAAACTTTATTAATTACCCTCCTCATTCAAAATTAATATTATGTAGCTATTTCATATAAAAAAAAGGCTCCTACTGCAGTAAAAGAGGAAGACAAGCATGATCTTATTGTATGTTCAAAAAAGAAAAAAAAAGCATGATCGTATTGTAGTCGTCTCCTTCCAAGTGATTATGTCAACATCATCATCATCATCATCATCAACAACAACAACAACAAAAGTTCATTATGTGAAACGTTGAAATAAAAAATATCGGTTTGTTTTCATAAAAAAAAAAAATAATTATTTAGAAAAATAAAAATTAATTTTATAAAAATAAATATTAAAAAGATATTTTTAAAATTATTTTTGGCCTTCCAAAAATAATGTAAAAATTATAAGTGTTTAAAATTTTTTAATTTTTTTCAACAAATTAATTTTTAATTTTTTAGAGAAATTTCTGAAACAAGTTTATGAAAATCAAATCAAACATGGCCATTGTGTTCACATGCATCACTATCCAATAAAAAATTGTAAATGGATTAGATGGACAAACTGTGTCTCTCAGTAACTCAATAATGTGGTGGTCTTGATCACAAATGAAAATTGTTCATTCAATGATAATACTACCACGTGGTATCACAAGTGTATTCAACATTTACTCAATTGACATGTTAAATATTTTTAATACCATCGGTTCAAATTGAAGTGTCCATCTATCTAAATTATATAACAAATAAGTTAAAATAATTTGGACAGATAAGCAAAAATATTGGGACAAATGAATTTGAATAAATAAGAAAAAATACTAAGATAGATAGATTCAATTTGGAAAGACAAGCAAAAATATATGCAGTGTATATAATATACACTGTACATACACTGTATATATTTATGTATATAATTGTAGTATAAAGATGACAAATAATTAAAGTCTCTCACTTTTGCATGGACTTTTCTCACTATCAGATGTCCTTGTGTCCCCAACAAAACCACTTGAGTCCTTAATGAGTTATACTGGTGGAAATTAGGGGTGACTGCGGGTCGGTTGCTGCCACGGAACCTTCAATCCGTCATTCGTCCGTTAGATTGGCGGATTGGAGAAAATCAATCCGCATCCGTCCGTCAATCCGGCGGATGTGAACTGAACGGATTGGTGGTTTGACGGATGGATGCGAATCGGTTTGGCGGTTTAAGATTTTATAAATTTTCAATATAATTCAATTTGTGCACTTCCTGAAGAAAAAAAAAAATATTACAGTCAATGACTTAAAAAACTATTACAATCACTGTATGTCTCATCCAAAAAAAGAAAGTTCGAAACTTTAGAATATCACAATCACTGCAAGGCTCATCTACATGTTACAATCACAGCATGATTCATCCACATATTACAATCACAGAATGATTCATCAACATAAAGTATTACAATCTGTGGTTCTTAAAATATAATAACAATTCAAACCACCAAAACCATGAACAGGGCAGTAGTAAATATTGTATGTCTCTATATTGTTACATCTATATATGTTTTTATATATCAAATTTTCTATTTATTATTTTTATAATTAAATTTAAAAACCAAAAAATATAGATAAATAATACGTTTATTTTTTTCAATTCAAAAAATATATTCAAGTTGAAAACTTTTTTTCAACAGAATATTTAAACTATTTTTCAATTGAAAATACAAACAAAATATTTAAACAAATTGAAAATATAAAGTCTTATAAATTATTAGGGGTGCTCGCGGTTTGGCGGTTCGGTTGCGGCCAAAGAAATCACAAATCCGTCATCCGTCCGCCAAATTGGCGGATTGGAGAAAATCAATCCGCAACTGTCCGCTTATCATTACGCATCCGTCCAAAATGCGGCGAATCAGTTCGGTTCGGTCGGTTTTGACAGATCAGTATATCCGCTGCTCACCCCTAGTCGAAATGTAGATTTATCAAAGATTTTTGCCTTTTAATTTTTGACTAATTTTTTTTTTAAAAAAATATGTTAATAAAAATTAAAATCGGCAAAAAAAACTTGTTTTTAAGTCAAAATAAAAATGAGGTATTGTTGTCATTTTTCTTAATAAATTGGGACATGAAATAATACTTGGATTTAGTAGATAAATGTGACCACCAAAGCATTCTCTTAATTTCCTCTTCTTTCACTTTTGCCTGTCAAGTTGTTATTAGATAAAATTATTGACAAGTCTAAAGTAAAGAATGTATAAGGCAATAGGTCTAGTAGGTATTTTTTATTGGTCAGAGATCCACAATTTATAAAATAGTTTGATGAAAAGTCTTTTTATTGATTTTGAAAGACATTTTGTTTCAAATTTTACCCTTTAATTTATCTGTTGACTTTTTTTATCTGTTGACTATTTGTTCAAATTTATATCTATTTGTTCAAATTATTTTCTATCTGTTTAATTTTTTTACCTTATCTATTCAAATATCTATCTAAATTTTATTATATGTTCATTTTTTTTCATTTATCTGTTTAAATCTATATCTTCCAATTTTATTATTTGTTCATTTTTTTCTTTTGAATTCCATCTATCAAAATTCTATCTGTTGAAATTTTGATTATATCTATTTGAAATCTATCTATGTGAAATGTCATCTGCTTAAAATTCATATCTAAACCATTTTTTAACAAATCTAAATAGATTTGAGCCATTTTGAATAGATTTGAACAAATATTAACCATTTTTTAACAGATCTGAACAACAACAAAGATTCATCATTAGTACACCACATATTCATCATCATCAACAACAACAACAACAACTAAACCCTAAGCAACAACAACAACAACAACCACAATACTAATAATAATCAACAACAAAAAATAAATAAAAATAAAGATCTCATTTGAGATCTCCACAAATCCAGATCTACCATAGCAAAACAACAAATCCGAGCCACAAAAAAAAAAAAAATAAAAATAAAAATACAACCAATCTCTTATAATTTTAAGGAAAAAAATATATATAAGGGAATGCGAACAAATCTAAGCTCTAATGGAATGTGATTCGATTCACAAACCCTAATTTCAATCTCTCGTCGTTTTCATAAAGAGATTGCTTTCAGTTTTAATCAAATTAGGGTTTTAAATTCTAATGTTTACAGATCTGCTATCATTGCTACTCTGTAGAGGATGATCGTCGGTGCGATGAACAACAATAGAAAAGCCACCAACAGAGAAAGAGTAGGAGCAGTAGCGGTAGTGACAGCACAGCCACAAGGACGAAGCGTAGATCCTATCTCAGATTTTATATTAAAAAAAAAAAATTTCAATGAGAGAAAGTAGGGAGGGCAGTGTTACTAGATTTGGAGGGAGGGAGTTCAAAATAAGAAAAAACTACACACAATGAGAGAATCGCGATAGAGAAAAGGACGGAGCAGCTTCCGCCTTTGATGAGATGGAATTGGGCAGTGTCGACGGCGCAGTAGATGGCGATCTGGCACTTAGTGGCGTGCTAGACAGAGAAGAGCTTGAAGAAGATGGCGGTGATCGCTATGGAACTTAATGAAAAGGAAAATGAGGGTGTTTAAGAGAGTAAGAGCAGTGACGAAGGAAGGAGAGTGGTGATAGCGGAGGAAGTTGAACGGTGGCGGTGGAGAAGGGGGGATGGAGAAGAGAGAGAGAGAAAGGCGAGCACTTTAGTTTGGTTAGGGTTTGGTTTGGGAAATATACATATATATATATATATATATGAGTACTTTTGGTCATTTTGTGAAGTTTATCCTTATGGACAAAATATTTTAGAGTATATTTTTGAACAAAGATAATTTAAAATTGAATTTTTGACCCAAGTGCCCTTGTTGTTATTATTATTATTATTTTGGCATGAGTTCTTTTTAACATCAAAACTTTTATTTCTGTAATCTCTCTATTACAATATTTTACACATGACTGGATCCTAGGAAAGGAAAAGTAATAAATACTTGTCTTATATTGTCTCTTTACCTAAATTGAAGGTCTTCCACCGACTATTAATTTTCTTATTTAATTCGTTTTAAATCAAATACCTCCAAAATTCATAACAAATTGATAGAGAGATTTTAGAATGATGTACAATCTAGAATAGATTTTCTAAAGGGGAACTTACCAATAAGTCTCATGTACAAAGTTGAAGGCCCATCTAATCCTCAAACAAAACACTTGCACCAATTAGTCCTACACATTTTTAATTGTTACCAAAAAATCCTTTTTTTAAAAAAAAAATTTACAGACACTATTATATTTTACTACCGTTGGACTTCCGTCAAACAGTCACCGGAGACTCATCGGAATGTTCAACATCACTGGAAAATCGCCGGAGTATTATCAGAAAGTCGCCGGAGTATCGCCGGAAGTTCACCGGAGTGTTAAGAACGTTAAGCAAGTCGCTGGAATGTTCAGAATGTTCACTGGACGTTAAGAACTTCACTGGAGACTTACCGGAATGTCTAAAATATTGCCGGAAAAAAAATAAATGAAGAAATTAGAGCAAAAAAAATAGCAAAATGTGTTAAATATTGATAAACTAAAAGAAAAAAAAAATGAAACAACAAAAAACAGCAACAATGGAAAAAACATATGCTATTTTTCAATTTTTGTAAGGATTAAGCAAATAATCTCCAATATTGATCAAACTGAAAAGTAAGTTTTGAAACTGTAAAATGTTACAGTTTCAAAGCAAAAAATTATTAAGCATTTATCCTTATTAATCAAATTGAAAAACATGTTATGAAACTGTAAAATTTTAAAGTTCTAAAGAATGTTATAAACTGTAAAATTTTATAGTTTTATACCATGATTCATTCCAGCACCAAAAAAATTCGAAACTGTAAAATTTTACAGTTTAAAACCATGATTCATTTCAACACCAAAAAAAAATTAAAACTGCAAAATTTTACAGTTTTCACCGCCTGTAACTAAAACTTGAAAACTACTTGTTCAGAACTTGAAAATTTTCTCCATTAAAACAGAAAAAGAGAAGTGTATAACAGAGAAAATGTAGAAAAAAATAAGAGATCGAAGGAGAGAGGCGGATATAGAGAGAGGATTGTACTCCGGTAACTATTTTTTGTTTAGATCTAGCCAAATCTGATATAGATCTACTCAGATCTGATGTAGATCTACATCAGATTTAATTAGATCTACTTATCTTCTTCATCGAAAATATATCTTCTTCGTCGTCGATGAGGGTGAAGTCACGAGTTGATTTCGATGGTTGGTGGTTACACGTGAACCCCGATCAATGGAGAAAGACGTGATCACCGGTCGTCGTCCATGACAAAGAAGATGTGAGAAAAATGTAGAAAAAAAGAGAGAGAAAAACGTAAAGAGTGAGGCAAAAAGCAGAGAGAGAGTGAGAGATGGAGGAAAGTAGGACTTTTGGGTCTATTCAAAAAGTTGTTGGATTAAATAGTATCCACATATTTCAAATAAGACCTGTGGGTAATTTTCCCTTTTCTTAAACCTCGGTTGATTTTTTTTCTTGATATTTTGGGTAATAAGATAAAGCATATATTTGAAAGTAACCATATCATTTTCACTTTTGGTAGCAATTTGTTCTTAATGATTGTTACACCACAATTAACGGAATATATTTGTGAGGATAAATTTATTGTCGGTTTCATTTGAAAAACAAAGTTTAGTGCAATGTGATACCATACTATTCAATGTGTTTGGTTTGAGTTTTTTGGATTAAGTTTTTTAAAAATTAAGTTTTTTGGTTTTTGTGTTTTTTTATTTTTAGTGAATATTTTTAAAATTTTAAACATTTTTTTACTTTTTTAGATATATCTTACTTAGATATATTTAAAAAGTAAAAAATTTGTGAAAAAATATTTTAAAAAATTAATAAATACATAAAAATACGAAAAATGTACTGAATCCTCGCAATTTTTTTTGTATTTTTGGTATTTAGTGAATTTTTAAAAGGTTTTTTTCACAATTTTTTTACTTTTTAGATATATTTGTGTTAGGTATGTCTAAAAAGTAAAAAAAATTGCTCAAAATATTAAAAAGATTCAGTAAAAACAAAAAAATACGGAAAATAAGAAAGTATAATTTTTTGAAAAGTATTTTTGAAAAACTTTAACCAAGCAAAGTGAATCACCTTTCAATAATTTCAATCCCGATTTGTAGCTCGAGACTTATAGGGCTCGAATGGCCCGAGTCGAAAAACGACGACGTTTTCATTTTTTTTTTTCTTTTCTTTTCTTTCTCTTTCTCGTTTTTTCCTGAAGATGCAGAAGATGAAAGTGAAGAAGAAGAAGAAGAAGAAGAAGAAGAGGAAGAGAAGAGGAAGCTGGAGCTGGACAGTTTCATCAACATCAACAATCATCAACACATTATCATCATCAACAATTTTTATTTTTTTTCTAATCTTGATCTACTTAGGAAAAAAAAAAGAAAAAAAGAAGAAGAGAAAACAGGGTTTCAGAGCATCTTCATCTTCATCAACAACATCTTCATCAACATCAATAAAAAAAAAAATTCATTCAAATCCAGATCTACTTAGAAAAAAAAAAAGAAAAAGAAAACAGAGATATCGAAACAGAGTTTCAGAGCATCTTCATTTTCATCTTCATCAACATCAACAACAACATCTTCATCAACATCAACAATTTTTTTTTTTTCCATTCAGATCGGTGATACAATATTCTTATAATTAAAGAGAAAAAAAAGAGAGATCTGGACATTGTGGTACATCTTCATCAAAAAAAGAGAGATCTTGTAGCAATTCCTATCAAAAAAATTGTAGGAATTGCAGTACATCTTCATCAACATCAAAAAAAAATAAAAAAAATAAAAAAAAGAGAGAGAAAACAGAGAGATCGGTGATACATGGAGAGATCGGTGATACCCACTGGCGCCGCCACCATCACCGTCGATCATCTTTTCTCCTTCTTTGTCGCCTCTTCTCATATCTGTGTTCGAAAGAAAAAGAAAGAAAGAAGAAGAAAAAAATAAATGAAAAATACTGCCCAAAACGACGTCGTTTTGGGCAGTCAGGCCATTCGAGCTTCGTCAGTTTCGAGCTACGAATCATTTTTGTAATTTTTTTGTCAATTACCCTACCACAGTATATGTGACAAAGTAATTATTTAAAGTGAGATTCACTCACCAGAACTAAGTTAATGCTGATTGGTGACATTGAAATTTAACTCATTTCATTTTTGGTAGTCACGATGCAATTTCTTTTTAATTATTGTTACACCATAAATAATGAAATTTATTGTAGTAAAAAAATTGATAATCATCCTAATATTATTCTATTAGTATTACTTTGGTAGCGTTTGATAGAATTTTCTAAATATGATTTGAAAATATGAGTTGTATTTTGAGTTTGTTAGTTTTGGAATTATGATTTGAGTATAGAAAATTTGTTTGATAAATGAGTTTTGAAAAGAATTTTGAATTAAGTAAGGAATTTTTGATGTGACATATGATATATGATACAAAAACTTACAACTTATAACTAAACACATAACTCAAAAATCTATTAAAAGCTTATAAAAAATTTTGAAAAAATTTCAAAAATATTGTATTATTAAAAATATTTAAAAAAAAAGAAAACAAGTGCCAATTGCAAAAAAAAAAAAATAATAAATAAAAAATCGCACTGTTCAGGTCAACCAGCCAGACATCTGGGGGGACGACTAGTAGGCCAAATTTCAAAATTTAAAAGCCCGCCTAAAACGAGTTTTCAGAAGGAGGGGTGAAATTAATTTTTCAAAACTCAAACCAAACATCATACTAGAATGTATGGGTAGAATTATGATTCCAAAACCTTCCAAACACAGCTATTTGTTCCTCTAAAAGAATATTATGCCACAAAAACAAAGGAAAGTGTGTGAGTGATTTTCCGATCACACTGCCCAACTCAGTATTCAGCTGGAGAACACTAGCAGAATAGATGACACCTGGCTAACCTGCAACAGAAAGAGAAGATTCTGGTAGTGGTTCGTTCACTAAGGGGCACTCCGACGATCAAGTCAGTATCTCTCAAAGATAATCAATAGTGCAAGACTCACTGTACTGAATATAAATTGCGTACCTTAGACCCACGGGGTGCCTCTTTTTTGTAGCTAACTTAATCCTTGTCCCAACAGGAGCCTAGCTATCAATCTTGGACTCCCAGTAGGATTGGAATAAACTCCCTAAGAGTCTTATCCTTTCTCAACTGTAGTCTTCTCTTTTTCTAGGACTCTTGTGTCTTATCCGCTTATTTCGGATTCCGATATCTTCGGAGGTAACCTTGGCCTCACCAAGATAACCTCGGCGTCATGATTAGGACACGTGGCACCTAGGCTGATACGTCGGCGTCACCTTAGCCACGTGTTGGTACTCAGAAAATATATCCCCACAACTGCTGCCTAGGTTTTATTACTTCGGCATTCTGAGGTGATAGAACCTATATTAGTACCTCCTTCCAGTACGTCGGCTTAAATTATTTTAGCCGAGATCATTTTTTAAGGCCGACATGTCTCCCTTAATCAAGAATTCTAGTGAATTCCTTCACTCGTATGAGATGTCATGCATCACTATTCAATTGTTTCATTCACGCGTCTTATCCTCATTGGATCGTGCCTGTGACGCGCCTGTAAGCCGCCTTGCGTCTGCGTACGCCGTCTGATGCATTTGCTGTTCTAGGCGCATTAACTGCCCTTTTTTGC